ACCAGGAACAACATAACCTTTGAGACTTAACCCATTGCGGCAAATGAATTTCTTGTGCAAATCGCGGAGCACTGACTTTTCACAATTGGTTAGAGAAATAACTGCAGGTCTTTTCCGAGAAGAGGTGAGGCAGTAAAAGGGTCGTTTAAAGGGGAAGCCAGTTTTAAGCGGAGTTTCAGTGGAGCGCTTAACACCGTCATCGCCGCGATTTTTTTCAATTGCTCACGTTCATTCACCTAAATTATAACGTTGTCTCGAAAATTCTGCCCTTTCTTTCTTGAAAATTCTTCGCTATTTTGGCGACTTGCTTCTTTGTAATTTTTTTCAGAAGGAACAAATCTTCTCCTTCATAGGATTTTATTACAAACTCACTGCAGAGATAAATAGTAAAAAAAGAACGCTACTCAAACTTTGATCATTTTAAGGCAGGTCGCCAAGAACCTGGAACGTTACAGAAAAGTCTGAAATTCTTAGTAAGTAAATCCTATGAACTAGTTTTTTGCATTTGAGGAAAACTACTGTTTGGAGGCTTCGTGATAATTATGATTTTCGAGAAAAGGGACAAAGTTTAAGTAGTAAACTAATAATCATGACTTCGCGGAGAAACGTCCAAACAGAGCAAACTTTCTTCGGTCGCAAAGAGTGGGTCATGGAATCTAGACAGTGAAATTTCAGATTTTTCTGCAATGTTCCAGACTTTTGCGACGTTTTTTCAAATTGATAAAGCGTTGAATGGACTTCCTTCTCTATTTTTATATCTGCAAGTGTATAGTAGAAGTCACGAAAATGCAACACGAAAAAGAGGATTTCTTCTTTCTAATAGAGATTATAAAAAAGCAAATTCGTCAGTATAGTGAAAAGTTCCATTTTTCGAAAATGAAACGACAGAACTATCGGGACAACCCAGCTATAAAAAAATCATATTTTATACATCTTCAACTATCTACAAATTTTTTGATAGACATATTTCACTATATCTCTTTTTTCTCGGCTGTACAGCAGGATTGCCACTTCAATGTGAACGACGTTTCGGCTAAAATCGTTCTCTTTGGACTCTGTCATAGTAAGATGGTTCTTACGATTAGAATGGGTACATGCGTTACATGAGCTCGCGACTCTCTAAAGCAAAGAAGAAGAATTTAGTCGAAACCTCGACCATAATAAAATAGCATTCTTGGTGTACAGCGGAAAAGAAAAAAAAAAGAAAACATTTTTTGAACATTTTTATATCCAGTAAAAAAGCAATGAAACATTTTCTTCATCATTACATCCGCATTTTGACTCCCAAATCTGGCGCAGTTACCTCTGCCGGAAATGCAATTGATTTCTCTACCTGCATTCGAAAAATTCCAAAGTCGTGTGCCTGCAACGTTTGTTCGCAGCATTCACTCAGCGCCGCTCTACTTCGCCCTGCAGCTGTGATGTCTTTGAGCAAATTATTGCACTTTTTCTTAGTTTTGCGCGGAAGAATCTATTTATAGAGACGGCATCGCGCACCATTATGTAAATCTATGTGTGACGACAAAAGCTGCTTGTGCTTTATGTACTTGCTTCATTTGCATTTGAACATCGCTTTCTTTCACCACTCATCCCCTTATAAGAAAAGGCTTTCCTCCGCTTTGATTATTCCGAGGAAAATGTCAAAATCGATGTGGAAAAGTAAATCCACTTTTTTCTTACTGCCCCCTAACCACTCTATGTTTGACATTTTCATTTACAATGACATAATGCCCGCTTTGGTGACGTCTGCAAATGCGAAAAAAACCTTTTATATTGACAGGTGCTAGTGGAAGCCCACTTGTCAAAAAGAAAAACTTTATAAAGAGCAGCCAACTTCCCTCATTCATACATCAAGTAGCTTAGGGCTTAATGAAGTTAAAAAGCGGATTGATTCAGGAAACATTAATCTCTCATCGCTCTTATTTACCTAAATTATTTACCCATCTCCACAACAGTCATATCAACTTCACTAACACCTCATCATATGTTTGCTACTTCGAAATATTAGAAGTCACTTTCTACTCTCTAGAAAAAAGAAAAACAGGTTCCAAATAACGCGCCCACTACAAGAACTTTCAAGCAAGATGATACTTCGAAAAAAATGAGGAAATATTAGACAATGCTCTGAGTTCTTTGATCTCACAAAGTATTCCTCCCTCCCCCCCCCCCCCCGCTCATCACTCATTCGTCAATTATGTAATAGACTATCGTGATTTGTACCTACCACATGTTTCTCAGTCTTGTCTTTCAGTCACTCATACATCATCGTCTTATTTAAACCAAAAATTCGATCTTGCCCTTTCATCTGAGCTCACGGCCATTTGACCTATTTCCTCTCAAATTTACACGACTTATACTCTTTCTTAGTTCATCTTTTCTTTTATTTTCCGAATTTAGTGTTATATTAGAAAAGTACTCCCAAAAAAATTTTTATCTGACTTATTTGTGTAATTTTTCGCTCCCATCACGACCTGAAATTAGGCAGTGTCTTAGTATTGGAAGTGACTAAACAACCTTGTTTTCTCAAAAATTCGTTCTGCTGCAAACTAAGTAAGTCTTCAGCTCAGCTTTGCAATCCAATAGAGCTACCTCATTGCTTTCGCTGCAACATAAATGTTGAATCGCTGGATTTGCAGAAAACTGCCCAAGCGAAGCAAAGAGCTTACATTCGCTGTGGCTTGCATAGCTTTTGGAGACAGACGTCTATTTGTCAAATGCTACTCTTAATATGGTTTCTACGGATTCAATCAATCCCTTACTTAGCAAACTCAAATGATCGCTTCAAATCGAAGGTGAAGAAAAATTGCTTAAGAGGGATAAACATTGTGAGATTTTTTACAAAACTGTTGTATCTATTAGGTTGGTGCAAAAGAAATGCGCGTTTTTCTAGCCCTTGTTTCAAGATAGCTTTTCTCCATCGAAGTTTCTCCTATGAAACTTATCCAGCATATTGTCAAGAAGCTTCTTTCATGCTCTATTCAAGGGTGTTTGAAAGAAGCTTTTAGCCTCATTCGTTAAAAGTTTACAGAGCTTCATACGACCGCACTCAAAACCAGAATTTCATTGCACTTACTTTTTCGGCCAGAATTCAAGCGCGAGTAAAGGCATTTTTCTGAAAATTTAACTACTGTATTTAGAAATTTTCTACGTTATGCACGCTTTAATGTTTTCCTAGAAATTACTTAGACTGAGATCTCAGCGCCTCAACATGAGTGATGGTTTTGGCCATTCTGTGGCCCATAGATTTCCTTTGAAGAGGGAAATCGCCAGTTCTGCTCGTTTCTGTAAACTTAAGGGTGGGCCTCCTGTTGACAGTTTTTGCAGAAATGTGGAAGCTGTTCAGTACACAGAAAATCAAAAATCTCCATATTTTGGGTTTTTGCGGGCTACGAAAAAATGTCGAGAAAAGCGGACAATTTTGAAAATTAGTTTTCCTTTTCGCAAATATTTTTCATTTAGGCACTTTTGTACTTTTTTTGTACTACTGGCTTGCGGCTACAAGACAGTCAACTTATCATTTATACCGACAAATCTTGAAGGAAGTTACGATCAGTTAAAAACGAGGTTTCCGAAAAAAAAATTTTTTGCTTATCAATCCATATTTTTCCATTGATCTGCGATGTTAACATAAGTTAGTATGCGCTGTATAGAGAGAGGTTTGGTGCCTCTGATGAACTTTGCCGCACTGAAAAATATGGATTTTTTAGAAAGTTATAGCACGTCAAAGTGAGAACTCGCAAAACGCGCATTACTTTTGCACCAACCTAATAAAACCGATGATATTTCTATAATGCTAACAAAGCACGAAAGACACATAGCATGATGAAAAGGGATACTAGTTATGAGAGCATAGAATTTCCGACAGATTTGCCATCTCAAAAATTATAGTGGTACTGATTAGATAATCTGCGCGAAAACAATAGCAAAAAAATTTCAAGTCACATTTACCACAACTAGCCGCCCGATGCTCTGAGGCTAAAAAGATTCTTACAAACAAGTAGATTTTCTGTTCGAAAATTTTAGTAGAAGATTTGCCAACGATGCTTTAAAAAATCGCTAAAGCCCAAAATCTGCACAACTAAAATAGTTCTGATGAAGCTCAAATGATAGGATGTAGACAGAAACTCTCCTTGATGATTATCCAGTATTCCTTCCCAATCTCTTCCAAGAACTCAATCTCGATTTATCTAATAGAACAATTATACACAGTGAATATCTTCGATACCAAATATATCTCGATATATTAGGTTACATTAACAGAAAAGTTGTTATAAGACTTCCTTAAGATTTTTTCTCATCCGAACTAGTGAAGATTATGGATTTTCGATAAACATGTTCACATATTCTCATGAAGGATCCAAATTTGGACTTTCAAAAATTTGATTTATTTCCAAACTTCCGACTTGACCCATTCAAAAGCTAAGACTTTGAACTGAAACTGTATTTAATGCTCCCAGAAATTAGAGGATCTAGAAAGTTGAAAAAGAAGAATGTGAGATTGTTTGAAAAGCGAATAGGAAATGGAGCTCAAAGTGATGTCAGAGAATTGCCTTTATACCTACTGCAACCTGTGTCCTTGTAGGCGAAAATGATGCCAAGGAACAGCTCTTCATTTCTTCGCCATATATGCCCAATATGAGGATTTGTCGGATACTCTAGAGTTTCTTAGAGGTGAAAGTGTAAGAAAACTTGTATAATCCTAAAAAAGCTAACTAATTCTAACAGAATTCTTTTCAATAGATCAAGTATTTATACTATCAAGCCAGAGCAAATTCATGCTGTCTTAGGAAAACCCAGCCATCTTTCGTTCGTCTCTAGGCGAAAATTTGCTCAGATTGCTGCCTCACAATTATTTTTGCACATTGTTGCACCTCTGCGCGCTCCGCGGGCACGACGCTGTCTCGTCGGTCGGTCGGGCGCACTCCAGCGCGGCGACGTTGTCTCGCCTGGACGACGGCCAAGTCGAGCGACGACGACGGATGGGTGTGTGTGTGTGCGTCGTTCGTTCGTGTGTGTGTGCGTCGAGTGAGGAGTGTGTGTGTCTTCCTCTGAGGCGACTCACCCACATTCGTCTCGTCGACGGACATGTGCTCATCTCGACTTTGTGCATTTACGCTGCTATCGCTGTGAATCATACGCCCACGGCTGCGGAGTACACGCGTCGCGATTGTCCATTTAAGCATGACGGTCAGCGAGCCGGAGTTCCGTCGAGCACTTTCGGATTTCGTGCTCAAAGTCGATCAATTGGGGAAAATTGAACGATGGACGCTCCATAAGGTTAGTAAACATTCTACCCTTTATCTTTTCCTTGATTCTCATCCTTATCTCCGTAGTCGCTATTAACTCAGTTTGTCGCCAAGTTATTTTTTTACTGCGCGCAAATGCAATAAAATCCCAAGGCGATTAGAAATCAACTAAAAAGACGCTGTCTCGAAGCAATGAAGCTGCTAAAGACCAGAGTTCAACTGTGCAGTTGCGGGTGCTAAGCGGAAAAACCCCTGCTCAACAGCAATTGCCACTCTACGAAGAAATGCGATACGCCTTACAGCTTACACCAAATAATCGCTGTAACGATCAAAGGTCATCCAAATGCGGCAAAAAGAGGGAAGAACAGGAAGTCTGGGATTCACAGATTTGGAACATTTGCAAAAAGGCGATTTTAAACTACGAAAAATACAATTTGCCAATCTCTAGGAGATTTAAGCAACCTTATGTTTGATCGAAGTAGTCCGTTTAGCCCACAATCTCTGAAAACATGAATTTTTTTCACAATTTCTCTTTTATGATGAGTTTTTGTATGGGCCAGCAGCGAGGCAATGCATTCAAAGCTCCTTCTAATCCTTGCCTAATACTAGCTTTGCTTTAGAGATCGATGAGGGGCTCAACTAGATTATTTTGTGGTATTTTATGCAAATAAACTGTGGGTGAATATACCTTGCTACCATTTTGACAAAAATCGTAGTGTTGAGTCTCAAAATAAGCTCACCCAACTTTCTCAAGGTATCTTTTGCTACAAGAATGCTGTTCGAAGTGAGCGCCTAAATTTTTTATGTCGACAATCTTTCATTGTTTTTTTTTTGCGAAAAACATTTCTAAACAGATCATCCACTTATGTCCACATTGAGTCTATGAGAAGAACCACCATGAAGACTATCTTAACACTGATTTTTTTTTGAAAATCTTCTGCCTTCGTCTCCTACAATTTGTACATTACTTTGTGTAAATCTTTAAGTGAAGAGAAGAGGTAACACCAGGCCGCTCAGAACACCACCTCTTTTTTTATTTTGAGGGAAAATTGCCGGAAACATCGAACATTTTTTTAGTACTTTAAGCTTGTCATACATAGCTTTTCATCTTCAACAAATTACCATCATCTTCATCAAGTGACCAAAGTTCCTTTTTTTGTATTACCGCTCTCAAAAATAAGTAATATTTGGATTATAATGTAGTATGATACTATATTAGATAGGTTGTTGCCCACACCTCATCTTTTTTCTTGTACCATTCACTTTGCAAAAAAGGGGAGTTTCTCTATCCGAGCGTATATACCTAATCTCTGCAAAAATTTTCCCTTCTTCTTTCTCACAGAAATTTAATACTCTCAGAAATTCCTCATATGCGAAATTGATTCCTGCGATTACTCAGCCTTTTTCTCTATTCAATTTCGTGTCTGTGCAGGAAGGCTCAGTTCTCGTTTTTCGCACTGTCGGATAAAGAAGGAAATTCCCCTTTTCGGTACAAGTCTCCGACGTTCTAAAAATTTTTTTGTTCAGTTGCTGAATGAAAGCTTGAACTTGAGTCACGTCGAAAATGAAAACTTACGCTTATCGAAGAAAAAAACAGCTCGGCCATAATACAACCTAGATTCTGAGCTGAGAAATGCTGGAAGGTGTAATTGGCTTCAAAATCCAAGATCCTTCCATCGATCGCACATAAAATTAGCACTTAGTTCAATCGTAATTCGCCATTTGCCCTTCGGAAGTATCTAGAGATACTCTGACTTTTACAGGGTCGCGGGCTCTGCCCAGCGAGGGCTTGCCACTCGTGCTCCGGGGCTCTCCCATTTCACCCATTTTGGGCCAGACTTGGAGGAGCCCGGAACACCAAAATGGGTGAAATAAGAGGGCCCTGGAGCACGAAGTGGCAGACCCCCGCCATTTGCCCTTCGGAAATATTCCTTCAACTGTCTGAGAAGCTGATTAGAACTTGCTTAAATTTTGCGCAGCCAAATTACATGGGTCATGGGTCACAGCTTGGGAAACACTAGTCAAAATATACCTATAAGAGATGCTAGAAAAGGGGTTGTGAGTTTCGGCGAAAAGCGGGTTTGGCAAACTCTGGATGATTTTGTGGAGACGAAGCATCACATACTCTTTGGAGCCTTTATTTAATCAAGAATTTGACCAACACTAACCCACTCACCCGATTCACCATTATTCTTCCTCTCACATTTTATCAAATTTGTATCTGTACTCGAAAAAACGATCCGACTTTGCTATGTTCCTCTTATTAGCTGTGAGTCTATTCTCATTTCGAATGACATCATATAGGCGCATTCGCCATTGATGTCGCACTTTTCTAATGATATATCTAGCTCGTTCGCAAACGAGTTAATGTCTCGCTGACGCCTTCATGACGTTTTACTTTTGCAGGGAAATACTAGGTTTCAGTACCATACGCGATGCAAAAAGAAGGCCGTAAAGGGTCGTAAAGCTTTGGCTAAAAGCGAGTCTAGAGAAAGTAGAGATTTTTATGTAATGAGAAGCTCTGAGAGCTATAATGAGAGTAACAAAATCTGATTTGTGAACATTCGCATTCACAGAACGCGCAGAAGTTCGATTCGCGAAAGACACCAGCAAAAACAATGATAATTACTTTTTTATCCTTGCTCAAATTACGCTCCTTCTTTTGACTAACAATAAGAAGATGAAGGAGCTGACCTTGAATCGCTTGGCATCAACAACTGAAGATGATAACTTTGAAGCGCTATTTGCTCTGAGAAGCGTAGAAATTTGCTTATCCTACAATACCCAAGAAAATTCGACAACCACCTAAAATCGTTCTGGGCGTTACCTAGCATTACCTATAACCTTGATTCAACACTGTCAAAAGCACAACTGTCATCTGTACCAACACCGAGCATTCACTGACTTCCGCGCGGATAGTATCTCGCGTTGAGATGCTCACTTTACTAAATTTGAAAAAGAAGAGTGATATACCTGACAGTCCCATCTGACCAATCCTTTTTAAGGTTTTAGCTTACAGAAAAAAACTCGCAATAACTAACCTATTGTGTATAGAAATTTTCCGAACTACACTATCGCGGGCATTTACTGGTTTGCATGAGTACAAAATAAAGAAATTTGCCTACTCGTACGAGGATTTTCTAAAAAAATCATTTTACTAGAATAATGCAAAAATTTGGGGATATCATCATATGCTTTCTCCAGTTCTCTTCTATCCCCAGAGAGATTTGCTTTTGAACACGTACTTCCTATGTACTTTCAGTCCGAACTCGGAATATGCGCCAAACAATCTGTGATGGTAAAATTTCGTGGAGAAGCCGTGAATCGTCAAATACACATCACATATAACGCTACATACAGTGTACCCGTACTATGGTTCAATTTTTACCGACGAGGTAAGTTATTGTGCTTCAGTTTCTTTACTACTGATGTTATGTATACCCGCATAAGGCAGTTACTCTCTCGACGAACGTCACTCAATTTCGAATCCATAAGCACGCGCAGAAGTCTGCTTTGCGCCAAGCTGAAAATAGCCCTATGTGACGTCGTCGCGGGAGTCGTGATGCAACGATGTTATTTCATCAGCGGAAGATCTCTTTCAAGCCACAGCAGCGCAGGCGACTAGCACATGTGTCCGAATACATCTCAGAAAAGTATCTACCTAGATACGGTAGTTCACGCGCCCTTGTCGGAAATGGCTGTTTAGAGTTCTTATACCCGCGCTTGACTTGCTTTGACGTCATTCCCTTGATGCCGTGAATATCGAGGTGATGCAGACCCACTAATTTTTGCTTTATGCGAGAGATATATTAGCAGTTGAAGCCAGAAAAAGTTTTGTGCACAATAGTTGAAACTTGCAGGCGTTCCGCCAGTAGCTTTCTAGCGGTAACTCAAAAATGTCAGTAACAGTTCACATTCAAATAGAATGACAATGGTGGATACCAACTGGTAACTTCCCATAAAAAATCAAGAGCTTAACCATTATGCGCTATTGCAGTTGTTACTCAAGCAGATATAAGATGTAAAGCGGTCAACCATCCCCTTGTTGGTTAACCACAACAAAAATGAAGTCATGAACTCTTTCCGCTCAAGCTTTTATATTTCCCGTTTTCGCGGTCCTAAATAAAGGTGGATAAGCAAGAACTCTCGCGATATGACCGAAAACAGTTCTTTATCCTCTTTCATCTGAGTCTAAACCTTCGCTGACATGGAATAGCTATCTTTTTCAAAGACATCCTGAAAATCGTTCGAAACCTTCACTTATATCCCCGTAAAGTGTGCCCTCTGAAGAGGCACAACACTCTCAATAACTTGTTTCTGATCATTTGCAGAGATGTCTATGTAAACTCTTTGTTGCATTTGAAAGGTTAAGTAAACAGTATTTCAATCAACGCAATTCTAGCCCATCTCCCCCCATTGCAACGAGGTGATCAACATCATGATGATCAATCAAAACTGAGGACAACTATCCCTCATTATTATTAACACGTTGACGACCGACCCATTTTTGACCACATCAAAACGGACTGATGATCTACGGTTGCGGTTTAGACTGTTTAACAGCTACCGCAATGCCGTGTGTTCTATATGACAACCAGGCCACCAGTATTATCACTGCATAGAAGTTAACTGAGAGTTTTTCGTTTACACATGATAAATTGATGCACGAAAGTGCTCAAAGGTGGTCAGGGCGTGCATACGCGCGGATGCACACGGTCGTCAACGTGTTAAGCAATCTACTGCACTGCATTCATGTTCGCACAACTCTGTGTAAATGTAAAAGTAACTCATAATAATAACAGACATACCTTCGCAGTGTCCTGTAAGCAGCTCCTGAAACACACCAATACTTTCGCGAACAAAAACGTTTTTTGCTTATGCGACGCCATCAAATCCGACGAGCATAGCTCCGCGTTCTTAATGGAAACTGCAAAAGCTAACACTGATAATGGAACCATTATTTTTAGCTGTAAAAGTGACATAACCTATCTTAAAAGCAAAATTTATGAAGTTATGATTAGTATTCTCTTGGTCATTCTCCATTCTCAAATAAATACTTGCAGATGGCACACCACTAAGCACATCGGAAGTGTTGGAGATGTCAAGCAATGACGATACAATGGATATCACACAATACATATCACTGAATGAGCATCCAATACTTGGCGTGCTCTTCTACAACATTCACCCGTGTAAAACCAAGGATATCATGAATGAGCTTACGGGGAAGGGCAACTATATTGCAAAGTGAGTAGGAAAGACAAAATTATCGGATGTGACATACAGAACTCAAAAACGCTTATTTTGGCTAACATTTTGGTACAAACAAGATCAATCAAGAAAAGCATATGAATACAATTGGAATGATTGAACTGTTCAAAAATAAGAATGAAGTAGCTGATCTTTGGAGTTCAGATATACGAATTGCTAGAGGATATGAGCAAATATCACAGTCTTGGGCTCACATAAGTATCGAAAACAAACTTCTTGAGCAATTCTATAAAGTCTCAACTTTATTCTGAATTCAGGTGGCTCTCTGTTTATGGTGCTCCGATAGGCGTCACGTTACCCGATGCCATTTTCACTTCAAAGGCGCTTTCGCAGCGTTCCGAAGACGCATCGCAGAGTTCCGATGATGGTTCACTGAGCACTCTCGATATGTAGTTGAGTCTACTGGTGTTTTAGCCACAGAATTGGATGCAAGTGTAGAACGAGGTATGTCATTTGCAACTGGATTTGCCTAAAAGTTTTGTACGTAACCTCTGCACCAAGCTGAGCGTAAATAACACTTACATTGGCTGGGTCAAAGAACTCCAAAATCATGAGGAACAGCATGTTAAATATAGCCACCACGATGTAGAGTATTCCGAAACCTATTCCTTGTTCAGCATATCTGAATCGGAAGGCATAATTCCTAGTCCGCCAAGTGAACCCACATACCTTTTCAGTCCTTGACGCCACTGCTGTGTAGGTTCTTGCATTGCATCCCGGTAAACTACTTCAGTGCGCTTTGCGATCTGAGCAATGACTTTTTTTTCGAAAACGCGTGCTCTCGAAATAAAATTTTCGAGCAAGCACAGTACGATTTCAATCTTTTTGCAGTTTTTTGAGAAAAAAAACTCACATCCGGCCAGTTATACATGGTAGTCACAGCCTGGTGTTTTTTGACAGGATCTATCAACAGTCCACGTTCTCTTCTTTTTATTGCTTCTGATAGGGCATTGATTAGTACTAAATATAAGATGAGTGTAATGAATAGTAATTTTTTGGCGAATGTGACCAATTTCAATTATGTATCAAATGGTTTAAATCACTCCGTCACGGTAGAATCACTTTAATTACGAAAACCACGTTCCTCCCATAATATAAATCAGACTTAAAATAATGCCAAAAAGTCGCACTTGCTTTTTGACTTGGGACAAGTATCACCAGACGCAGGTGGAAGCATTTCTAAATGCCAGCAGCGCAGATGTGGGCCGGAAATTATTTGTATTACAAGGCTGAGAATAACCGAAACACATATGCAGTTTGTGCCCAAACAGTTGAAACTTTATGCCTGCTTACCTGCTCATCTTTCATGTAATTCAACATAACAGGCAATTTGAGAGGTAGAGGACTGTGTCGCCGAAAGGGGAGGTCTCTCGCGGAGATCTGCAACAAATGCGCACCTTTCAAACATGCATGAGGTGCGTAATTGTCACTGATGGCGGCATGAAACTCCCCCTTTCGAGGACATAGTCCTCTACCCAATTGCCACACTTGAGGATGTAGAGAACGTAGAAAAGTGCATCTCTTGGTAGCATAAACGCCTATGAATTGCAGCCATTGAAGGCATGAATTCAGTATTCCATACTGCGTAGGGCGATAGCCATTCATACCAAACGTTTATACATAAAACTTAAGTCGAAGGAGTGGCAAGGTTGTGAGTCATAAAACATAGAGTAGTCATTTGTAAAACAAAAAGAATTGGTCAAGAACCTCGATATATGACGTGATAGAATAAATTAGAATAACTTGTAAACTGTACTCACACTCTGCCACTGGTTCCTCTAGCGATATGAACTCTTCCGGTAGCACTTCTGGCACTCCTCCAACTTTAGTTGACACCACATGAAGCCTATAAAACTTCATACCTATCTCTATAATTCAGAAGACGACTCGTACCCACAACTGGCGGCCTCTACGATGCTCATGCAGAACGCTTCCGTTAACGATGTGTTGATGAAGATCTAAAGTTTACTTACATGTTTACTACATTTATTATGAACTTTAATGTACAAGAGAGTTGTTTGCAGTTTTGTTACCTCTGTATATGTTATATAAGAGCTTTACATACTCTGATTGGTCCATCTACCGGTGTTATACATATGCTGAAAATTTTGTTAGGATGTTTTCGTACCGAACATCTCGCTGTTTGCATATGTACTAGTAATAAAATGATAGCGAAGGTAAAGTATCTGAAATGAACCTGCCTGTCCTTTCACGAGCACATTTCTGACTAGATTATGAGGTAGCATGCCGAGCAAAGTGACCCTGCTGTGTAGATGGTATCTTTCTCTCATTTCCTCCAGCTCCAGCCGTTTTGGTCCATCTCCACCAACGATAAAACGAACGTCTGGATGTCTGGTGCACACCTTCAATGGAAATGATTCTGGAACGAGATGTCTACATGAACACCTTTCAGGATAACCTACTCAAAGTATCCTTCCTTTTAGCACAAGAACATGAGAATGGGTACGAGGACACAAGTAAGACAAGCAAGTTATTGTTTACGCCTACTGCGTTTGACGGCGACAAAATGATGTTAGGAGTAGGCGCAAACAAAACGAAGTGTATTGATAACATCATCATGATCTTAGAATTGTTTGGGACCCGTCATACTTCGCCCAAAAAAGCCGGAAAAAGCTCAAAAAAACCCCGAAAAGGCCCGAAAGCGCCAGAAAGAGCCGGAACGCAGGAACAAACTTTTGGTAGAATTTTGACTTTATTTTGATGTAAAGAGGGCAGAAAATGAACCAAAAAGACTCAGTTGCGAAATCAACACACATGCCTTAGCGCCAAAACGTGTGCGCAGTAGGGAGCGTTCCGGCTCTTTCTGGTGCCTTTGGGCTTTTTTGGGCTTCCTCGGGCTTTTGGGCTTTTCTCGGCGAGGTATGATGGGTCCCTTCAGCAGACAGAACTACTTTTCACTTATTGATGATGTATCGGCAGAAAAAAAGATCGACATGCAAGAGCCAACATACCTCGGGAATAATGGCGCAAAGCAGATCTGCTCCTTTTCTGTAGACCAGTCGTCCCAAGAATATTATAGTCGTCGGATTACTATAAAATTGATCGGGATCTGGATAGAAAAACCTCATCTCTATTGCATTGGGGATGGTGAACACCTTTCGTGGGTCGTCCAGCTTACCGCGAAGGACCGTGTTTTCTTTACTAAAAGTTGAAGGTACATAGAAGGAATGAACAGCTGATTGCCCACCTTGTGTAGGAAACGCAAATCACTCTGTCTACATTCGTCAAAGAATATTGCAACACGAGCGTGTTCGTGAGAATGGCAGAAGCATCAGCAAACCCGAACAACGAATGATCGGTGAATACCGTATGTATACCCATTAACCAACCATTGAACATTGCCTCATGGGCCATGGAGGAAAAGGTCTAGACTTAAAACTTAGCATGAAATGCTCTGAGCACTATTGTTCTGTAACAAATTCATGGGACTTACAGCATGGCCATGAATTATTTGGACTCTTTCTCGTAAGAAAATCTTTCTGAGCCACGGCAGACTACCTATGATTGTGGCAAGGCTGCATCCGTTGTAGATAACCAAGAAAGGAAGGTAGTAGACCTAAATGGGAGATTTGAGGTGCAATCATAGTATCTTGAAAATTTACTTTCAATCCGTTTGATAAGTAGCGAATTCCTCTTCTATCACCGTAAGCGTGCGTTATCACAATCACCTAGACCGAATGAGTAATTCAAATGATCTGATGCAGATGCATAGCTAATAACATCATCAAGAATAGCTCAAGTCATTCAAGGAAGCATAAAATGCAAAGACTTACTTTGTGACCTAACTTCATCAAGCATTGACCGAGAAAGTAGATATGCGTTTCCACACCTCCAGCATTTGGGCAGAAAAAATCGGAGACCAATCTGAAAGAAAACTTCAGCGACAGTCAAGAAGTTTTGTAACAAAAAAATCCTAATAAGCTTCTATGGCAGCCACGACAGGATCCAAGCTTTACTCGTTGAGCCCAATTCGTGTTTCGAGCATTAAAAGTAATCTCGGATGATATGATTGCGCCAGTCCATCTGCCGGGACACTAATCGAGAGCTCATGAGTTATTTGACACTACCTAGCGATTTATCAATGTCAAACTCGTGAATCTTCTAAGCCTCTCATAGGAAAAAAACTGAGTTTCCAAAAGTAAAGCCTCCATACTTCCTTGTAGGTAGAAGAGGCCCGATCAGTTGAAGTCAAGATGTGGCAGCTGCAACTGCCAGCCAAAAGCACTTCAGGGCCTGCTGCTAGTGTCTCCCGCACGAGTTGCTGTAACGCCGCATCGCGGCAATTTCTAACTCACCCCCGACTAATTGGCGCCCACAGATTATATGTAAGGGCTTTTGTCGAACGAAGGGTTCCTTCATACTACGCCGCGTGCGCCGCGTACGCTGCAGCACGCAGCGTACGCTGCTCGCAGCGAGAATACGCTCATGGCAGCACACGCTGTCTATCAATGTACCTATTTCCATATCTGCTACTCTTCATGTCCTCCGAGTGTTCACGGTGAAACTATGCTGCCATGGGCGTATTTTCACTGCGAGCACCGTACGCTGCGTGCTGCGGCGCACGCGGCATAGTATAAAGGGACCCGAAGGCGCAAAAGCAGTATTAGTCCAGCGGACACGCACGCGGCGCACGCGTATTTACCGTTGTGAACCTAACTATGTACCTAAACCAAGCGCCTACTGCGCTCTGTGGCTAACAAACCGCGTTCGCGCCGCCGGGTTTTGCGTCTTTGTCCGGCAGTAGCCTATAGAACAGTGGCAATCACGTACTCAGAATGAAAAGTTAGGGGACTAGCTAAGGTACTGTAAGGGGCACCACAAGGGTATCAAACATGTGATTTCTATCTTGGCACTTCGTGATTCTCATAACTGTCGCTCAGGCACTCGCCATACTTGATCCGCTTAATCCACTTGATCTGCTTCATCATTGGTCAATTCAGTGAACTGACCAATAGTGAAGTGGATGAAGTGGATCAGGCGGACAAACGCTTCGCTATTGCTTAATTCACTGAGTCAACCAATGACGAAGCGGATCAAGAGGATCAAGTGGATTAAGCGGATCAAGTATGGCGGGTGCCTCAGCAGTCTTCGTGCAGTGAGGCTCGTGCATCATCAATTTTCTTAGCACTTGAGACCTTTGAGAACGTGCAAATGATACACAAAACCTGTACTCTTGCAGTATCATACAGCTGCATAATTTTGAGCCGAAAAGGTTTAGGGAGGAGAAGTACCCAGGCCACATGCGACATCGTATCGCCTGATGACCTCGCCGTTCTGGCCAACATAGACAGAAGATTGAGGTGGCAATGATAATCAAAAAGTATAAGCTGATTGGTAGTAAAAAACTGGAGAAATTATGGATAACTCACGCAATGCTGAACAGTTCCTTCCGTTGTTTGGCGATGTTTGACATAATGAGGCGGAATGTTTACCGAGATTCCATTACAAATAAAAAACCCGTTGAGATCTGCAAACTGTATTGATTCAATACATACACAGCTCAAAAAAAGCACGAATATACAGAATAGTCGATCGCAAGGACGGATCGTAAATTACGGAACAGACGCGGCGCGTGCATCGCAGTCTACGGATAGTGTGCGGTCGACGACTCAACCGTGAATACACAGTAATACCGTCGATTTGTTGACCGCACGGACTGCTCAAACGTCGGACCACGAGCGGCGCAGCTAAAATGTTGCGAGAGCACGACTTGTATCTACAATGGCGACCTGGTACTGGGGCAAGCGCTTTACCCTGCGGCGCGGCTCCGCAGTGATATCCAGTCCGTGCGGTGAGCGAATCGACGATACATACTACATCGATCTAGTACAAAAAGTGAAGGCAGTAGCTCAGCAGATGCAGCCGATTCACTAAAGTTGTCACGTGTTTGCCGCTTCTATTCAAATTTGCTTCGTATCTTATATATAAAGCTGAATGTCTGTTTGTCTGTCTGTATGTCTGTATGTCTGTCTGTCTGTCTGTATGTATCGTTTGTTCCCCAGCAAGTTTCCCATAGATACCACGCATCTCGCTGCCTTTCGCCCTTTTGAACGTGTTAACCTCGGGCACTTCCTTTGGAATCTCAGGAGAAACATGTCAAAAAGAGCGAAAGGCAGCGTCGCACCACGTACGCACGCTGGTTCACATGGGAACCTTTCTGGGGCGCAGACGGTATTATCGGCTCCACGATTCGTGTAGAGGCGGGGTTTTGCCAACTCAAAGCGTGGCGGTTTTTGATAGCGAGAGAGTACAAAAAACAATGCTATGACGTGGAGGTTTAACAAGTTTACCTGTGTTATCAGGCAAAGTCTGCAATACACCTCTACACGAATCGTGAAGACGATCATATGTGTGTACGTATGTTCCGAATAGAAAATTCCATTTCTGAACCGATCCGGACCAAACTTGACACACATACACTTCGGGCCCCGGCGGGTGTCATAGGCTACTTTTCGTCATCGATCGATATCGATTTTATCGATTTTTTGCAAAATTTGAGCTACGGGGCTGGGAGTTGGTACAGGGGGGTAATCGAGGAGGACCGGCCCGCCTCCCGTCACCGTCGGCTCAGTACGCGTCGCGTCTCAAAGGCGACGCGTGCACCCGTATACAGTCTGCCCCAATCCTAACCAGGCCAAAATCGGCATGGCGGGAGTCCGCGCCGCGAGGGTTTCGCGCCACATCTGCGGCTAGCTAGTCTGCTCTCTCCTCGATCTCTTCACTCTCTGCGACAGCGCGCGTATGCAGCGCAATCCCCTAGCGCTGCGAGCGCGCAAATTCAGCCGACGGTTCGGCCTGATCCCGATTGGGGCAGACTGTACTCGTTTCATTAAGCATGAGAGAATTTTGCGCAACTATTCTAAGCTACCAGACGGAAAGGTTTTTCAAATTTATTTTAGTGCGTATAGGCGCCGTAAAACCTAATTGCTCGTGCCGTGCCTTGAACACCAGCGTAAGCGAGCGGTCGTCGCGAACGACTGTCGGCGTTCACTAAATTCCAAGAAATCTTCCTTCAAATCCCATGTTGTTTTCGTCAATGTGTAACGAATTTACGTTTTTAGGTTGTCGTTAAGCTAAGAGTGGTACCGTAGCTTGACTTTCAGTAACGCTTACTTCCTATTCTTTCAACCGGCATACATAAAACTCAACTAGCTTCCTTACTAAGCATTTATCAGGCAAATATAAACAAAGTATAGAATATGAAGGGTGTAGCGGTAGACGGCAAAACAGGGCGGGATAAAAGTATAAGAATAATTAGAGAAGAAGTTAGATAGCGGATAGATAAGTGGAAGATAGATAGGTTTGAGATAGAGGGTAGTCAAGCAGGAGCTAGGGCTCCGGCTTAACCTTACATAAATATAGCAATATAACGGGAGCAAATAAATACGAAGCAATTATACGAAGAAGAATACTAGAATAAACATATGATTAGAGATTAAATAAATATGGAGGGCGGGTGATTAAAATGAGGGGGGGGGGGCGGAGATTCGGAGACGATCTTGTTGAAGAGGCAGCTGCGAAGCTGCCTCAAGTCCGAACCTCTCGTGGGCGGGGCATATTGCTTTATATAGCCCCGAGGCGAGCTTTGAGGCGGGGCGAGGAAGGCGAGGAAGATGGATTGATAGCGCAGATAGTTGCGCTTTTCCTACAAATGCAAGGTATATCTTGACGAAAGCTCCCTTTAAAAGCTTAAAAAAATATGTGTAAAAAGGGTGCGCGCTCATTGTCGCTCGCAAAAACCCTGTAGCGCTTCGGGACCAAACGTTTTCAACCGCGCCGCGCGTTGGTGTTCAAAGCGACGCGTGGGCAATTGGATTTTACGGGGCCTGTAGATTTCGTTATGGCTCCGTTTGGCGGAGCAATTCGCCAATCAAATCAGTCACTTTGCCTCGTGTGCTTTTGTGCAGATGGAAGACGCCAAACAATTGCTTCTATCTCAGCTAGGGTCAAACACTAAAGCTTGCCAGTAAAATATGAGCAGGCAGTAAGGAGAGACCTATGCAGTAATGATAGGCATGACTCTACGCAGACGAAAACTTTCCTCCAATTTTGATTGTCCGCTTCATTTTATTAGAGAGGATAGACATGTATAGAAATAATGCAATCTGTTGCTGAGATCACGACCTTTTTTGCGCGGTCCGGACTAGACTCACTCTCTATACCAAGAAGATAAGGCTTTATGGTTGGACAGGTTGGACAGATAGGACGTCAGTATGGTATGCAAATTTAGAGCCAGTGACTCTGTCCACTCACATGCTTGTCCAGTCACGGGAAATGTGGCATTAGCGGGATTCTAAATTTGTCAATAAGTTCATCAGCTTCAGTTCGGGGCAGAGTTCTGGCAGGCAATACCAATCCAAAACTATTGATTTATATGTCGCTAAATGTGGTTTTGAGGCGCTACCTTCCTATCAAACGAGAGTATCGCATTCACTAAGTAGTAATCTCCCTAGATCCGCTAGAATACAATTCGAGAAATTTTCGCAACAGACATCGCAACAAGGATGAACATCTACGACTTGTAGGCTTCACAATTCATGCTCATTGTCTGAAGATGACTAGTAAAGCGATGTGGAAATGTAGAGTCGCTGTGCTGTTTAGACTGTTCTCCCTGGTAGGATCACGTGTTGTGCAGCCTCCTTTCCCGCACAATTCTTGAATGGAGTTTTATATAGCAGTGTGCAAGCATTCCGCCTCTACGAGATTGGCGCTATTCTAACATCCAGGCCTCAAATTTCGAAGCTGTGATTTTTGCTGGAACGCAATAGATGGGCATTCTCCTACACGTTATTTACGAGATTTTCCCGACAACTTATTTTTTCTTGCATTGTATGTCGGGGTCAAAACCACAGATTTGGCTTTGATCGGTCTAAGAGGGTTATCTGGTATGCTAGATACAAACAGCCTACTTATTTTTGCATAAAGGCTTCGTCGTGGAGTTCTGGAAGGTGTACGGTATACTTTGGGAAATTCGAAATTTTTTTCGAATATTCGACTATCGAATACTATTCGAAAATTGAAAACTTTGAATATTCGACTATCGAATTTTATTCGAAAATCGAAGTTTTCGAATATTCGACTATCGAATATTATTCGAAAATGGAAGTTTTCGAATCGAATAATATTCGAATATCGAATACCATTCGATATTCGAATTTCGAATATTATTCGGTTCTCGAATAATATTCGATTTTCGAATATCATTCGATTTTCGAATACTATTCGAATGAATTATGTCAGTGAGACTACCTGTGAGAGACCAAAACATCTCAGAATAAATTTTTTCAGGTATAGACATTTTTTTATGTTTCAATTTACAACGAAAAAACGGTTCAGTTGCAGCCCCGGCAAGAAGGGGTGCCGGATTGTGGCGATGTTAAAATAGTCCCCCCACCTAAGCGATGATTGATGTTCGGAGCGAAAAAGGGGCTACCAGGCCTAAAATCTGCCTCGTAAGTGGCCCGGATCTTAGGGTAGGCTCGTGACTACGAGATGCATGCAGGGTAGAGACGCAGAGTCGTTGCGGGACCCTGCACTCATGGCTGTGTGCGCTATGCGTTCTCTGGCCTTGCAGTTCGAATCCGCTGTACGGGCGGCATTCGGGCCTGCCGTAAGACGGGCCAATTTAGGAGCAATTTTCAAGCTTACCAGACCCTCTTTTTCACTCCGAACTTCGTCACCGCTTAGGTAGGGGATCCAATTTAACATCGCCACAAATTTCCGGACCCATCTTTTGGGACGCTGCCTTCAAGAACCTAAAAGCGTACGTGACGGTTGTAAAGGAATTTCAAAAATCAAAGAAGATTATTTATCCTCATTGAGAGTTGTGGACTGACATACAGGGGTCCCAACAGTATGTGAATCTGTGGGCTGACATCAACTTAGACTTACAGTATGAAGCGATGTATCGATCGCTTTTCGCTGTTGTAAATTACCGTAGGAAAACTGAGGAGAGTTTTGAGATGTCAAGAGCCGTTTGCCCAAGAATGAAAAACAAAAAGGCCGATCTTACGCTAGGCTTCTAGAGACACTCACTATATAAAGAATTTGCACTCAACCGTAACGCCTTTTGTAACTTATGCTAGGTATACCATAACAGATGTTTTCCAACGCTTTTCAAAAAAGAGAATGAACATTTAAAAGGCTTGATAGCCCGTGCATAGTTGAACATACGTAAAATCCTGCTACATAGATTTGTAATCCCTTTTTCGTTGAGGAAACTCTTTTGGATGTCTCATTTCGCAGTTGCTCTATATGTTAAGTTCATACCGTGATAACACAACAAGAAAAACATAGGTGATTTGCTCTCTGCTGTGTTTGTAAGCTGAAGCCATCCCTATAGAATGTTACTTAAAGGTTGGCAGAAGACTTCGTGAGAGGTATTAGCGATTAAACAGTTTGTACATACCCTTGGGACACCCCGTATATGTTGTGGATATCGAATTTCCGAATATTCGATGCTTCGAATTTGAATAGTCAATTCTTATCGAATTTTCGAATATTCGGTGCTCATCGAATATTCGAATATTCCATGGACATCGAATGATCGAATTATTGACCATCGAATATTCGACTATCGAATAATATTCGAAAACTGAAAATTTCGAATATTCGACTGTCGAATATTATTCGAAATCTTAGATTTTCGAATATTCGAATTTTCGAATCATTCGCATTCGAATGATTTATTCGAATAATCGAATAATCATTCGATTCGGTCCAAAGTATAGTGTACGGCATGAGGTTATGGATTTGCCGTGGACCTTGTCCTTTTCGGGCAGATGTGCCTATGTTAGGTGATTACAAAGTGACGAACAGTGGCGATGGGTACTAACATGGTGCTAACTCTTTTTGCATATTTGCGACGCCAGCGTAAAAAACGCGCTTCAGTGATGAGTTTCAGTGCGACGCCCACTGCGGCGCGTACTGAGCCGACGGTGACGGGTGGCGGGCCGGTCCTCGTAATCGAGCATGCTGATTACGAATAAAATAATGACAGGGCCGGGCGGAGCCGGGTAAGCCATCTAGTCATTCATAATGCTGCAAATACGTATTCTCGGTATTGCATGTAACAAACTGCGTGCTTATGCGAGATCATGTTAGAGCTCAAAAATACTGACCATAAAGGTAGCAGCTCGCCAAAGCCGAACATCCCGAAATTTTGATATGGAAGGTTGCTTGCACTCCAAACATGAGAACAGAGCAGGTCCGAGCGCACAGCATTCTACCCTTGCCTAGAAAACTGCCCCTAAACCCTTTACGCGAAAACCATTCTAATACGCGCGGACGAGCTTGCGATTCTCTCTGACCAGGGTTCCAAAAAACCCCTGCTAATAAGTTACCAATGTTACTGTGGTACACGTGTAACTACCGTTACCGTTTTTACTGCTGTTGAGCACTGAACTAATCACCAATACACTCTCATCCTCGAACGGAGTCTCACTAACTGATATGAGTAAACACTAATAACATGGGTAACACGTAGTGGCAGCACGGCTAACACTGGTAACACGGTAAACGGGTTACACTGGTAACACTAGTAACACTGATAACACGGGTAACAGCGATGATGTGTGGTAAAAGCCATATAGAGAATCCTGAACGCTCGAAGCTATACATGGCTTTGACCATACATTACCAGTGTTACCCGTGTTACCAGTGTCATCAGTATTACCAGTACTAGTGTTACTAGTATTGGTAATTACTAGTGTTACTCGTGACGAGTGTAACACTGGTAAACCGGTATTAACACGGGTGGTGTATGTTCAAAGCCTGTATCAAAACGTGTTACCGTGTTACCAGTGTTACTAGTTTTACTCGTGACCAGTGTTACCCGTGTTACCCATGCTATTAGTGTTACTCGTTTACTCACACCAAACAGTGAGATTGCGTTCGAGGTTGAGACTGTATTGGTGATCTTTCAGTGCTCAACAGCATTAAAGGCGGCACTAATAGCACGAGTAAAACTTTCAAGACGAGTGTAACACTGGTAACACCGGTAACATAGGTGACGTATGTTCAAAGCCTGTATCAAAACCAAATTTGCAGTCTGACAACCATCCGGTTCACGACTACTGAACTTACAACTCCAAATTTTGATTGAAAAGCGACATTCCGGAGAAAACAAAAAAGCAGAAAGAAGTTTGGTTTCCTGAAGAAAATGCTATAACTCTTGACGACTTTACAAAACACGCGTGCCTCGGTGTGTCGTGGTCGAGAATTCGCCCTGCAAACGTCCCGTGGCACAGTCGATAGAACAAACAATCGAGCTGTTCCTCAGCGATGGTCCTTGTCGTGCTTCGATCGCATTGTGCGCCATCTTACAGACCCACTGAGCATCTAAACTTTTGGGAGAACTTTCTAGGCTTTCTCGTAGCCAAGTAAAAGAGAATTTTGCGAAACATCGATCGTTTTGATGGATCGTTGTGCAGTTGAAAGCGCTGAATCAATGCCGCTGCTGTGTTTAATGACGAGTTTTGTTTTCGTTTGTCGGTTGGCTCGTTCGTTGTGTGAGAGTCTGTGTGTGCAAGGCACACGCTGTTCTTCCCCCTCGTCTTCCACCCATAACCTTCTCCCGCGGACTCGACACAGGAGCGAAGCCTGCCTTGCTTTCCTCCAGATGCTTCGACACATACCAGATCTTTTTTGTATGCGAGAGGCACATTTCGTAAGGAATCGAAGTGTGCTCTACAGCATTGGCCAATTCGCTCATTGTTGGATTTCACAACAGCTGAATATGGAGGAAAGCAACCTCAAGTTCTTAAGCCCTTATCTGCTTAGGAGACTTTATACCAGCCACCTATTCCCGCGCTTTACTCATTACTCATCGGCGCCACCGATCTGTTTTCAATAAAGACTCCCCTAGCATCAGTCCGAGATTCCACATAATATGGTTATCACTGCGCATTGATTCGCAGCAGTGTTTCCTGTTCTCCTGGCTCGCCATGGCTTCCCAACTTGTCTAGGATACCTTTACAGCAAATATGTATGTGTTTACTTGTGATCAGATCTGGAAGGTACGATTTTTTATTTCACAATGGTCTGAATGTTTGTTTACTTTCGTTTAATTATATCATGCTAATTAAACTCTTTACATGAGCATTGTGACTGGTTGATCAATAGGGTATCCCAGAAAATGTGCACTTTGTTAGGTAATAACTCTCTTGCTTCAAGATCTTTAGATTTTGAGGTACCGTTGTGTAGAGCTGGGTTCAACCCCTGCCATTCAATGAACTCGTAACATTTGTCTTGTAGCGACTGAATTGCGTGAACTCTGCCCGAGGTCTAACAGGTAATGGTCAGAAATCGAAGTGGCAATTTCAAGCATGCTGCATATCATTAGATGCAGCATGCTGGTATCTTTATCTGCAGAACGCTTTTGGGGATGAAATTATAAGCTATTGAAGGCCATCATTTTGCTTAGAAATCGTGCGTGTAAAGGACAAACTTGGCCGTACAGAGCCATTTTCGGCTCAGTGCTGGACCAAATGCAACTAGGTCACTTCATATGGCCCGTATCTAGAGATTGAGCTAAAAGGGCAGTAATGCGGCTAATATCCAGTTTTTGTGTGCGTTTTTTTCGCTTTGAAGCTGCTCATATTATCATCTACAAAAGCGTTCTTCAGATACGGAAGACAGATATGAAAACAGCGTTTTATGCTGAATCGAATGGTATGCAGCTCGCTTCTATTGGCTACTTCGACTTCTGATCATTCCCTTGTAAGTTGAAGCAAGCTCTGCAGAATAGTGCCTAGAGATCGGCTAAAGGCGTTCAAGGAGGAGAGTTGTCAGCGACCAAACAGTGTGCACATTTTTGATACCCTATATTTTTCAGTGATTTTTTATGATAAGTCCAAAATTACTCAGCTGAATATTGGGGAATTTGCCCTGTCAGCGAATCCATTCTTCATTATTTTGCTGCAGAAGTATTTCGGTGCAGGTTCCCTCGCAAGCCAATATCATCTATTCTACGACTTGGAGACGACCGCATTGCGGACATTGTCTTAACATGTTTGAGTTTGTCCTTCCCTGTTTCCAAAGAGTGATTAAACGTGGGCGAGATAAATGACGAGTATAAACCTGCTAAGTACAGATTAAGCTTGTTTAGACAATGTATGCAATGCGGTCTCGCGTCTCCTAGTCCTAGAATGAATGATACGTAGGTTCTGGATTGGTCAACGAGTTTGTGTGGGTTCCACGCTAGAAAAATTGAGGGCTTTACTGATGGTCACTTGCTCTTTCAGGCTTCCTTGCAAACTGACTATCATCTATTTTGAGACTAGGAGGATCAAGAACGCTTTGCAAACATTGTCTAAACAAGTTTGAACTTATTATTCACATGTCAAGCTTGATTGGACGATGTCTGCAAAGCGTAGCAGAGTCTCCTAGCTTCAGAATGAGCTGAGGGCCATAAGTACTAATTTAGGCTTTATTACATAAACGAGAAAGCGCCTTACTTTTGGCCTTAGTACTTGGCAAATCTTAGGTCTTCGATTTTTTTATCCTGATCCTCCTGCTCCAAGTCTAGGTTTGTCTATTGATTGTCTTTGAGTTCAGTTAGGGTTATGGTCTTCTACCATTTCCACGTTTTATCAAGAAAAATGAAAACGCCCAGAAATCATGACCATACCTTGCTAGCAACTGACGTCACTGAGTTCGTAACCATTTTAATAGAACGCGAATAGAATAGCTAATATTCTCAAGAAAATATTTGCATTTTGTGCTTCTTCTACCATGCATGCTGTTTCCTCCTGCTCGCTGTTTATTCTACTCTTGTCATCGAAGCTCACCTCTAACTTGTTTTGTATCTGAATGCGGGATAAAGCTGTGAGTTTTATTCTCTCCCAATGACGTAAGTAGAGCACTCCTCCAAGGTTGTTTACGCAGAATAATGCTTTTCTCTGCACCGCTGCCATAACCCCATCACAATGCGAAGAAGCGAGAGCCGAAGTTTTCAAAGTAAGTGTTCTGAGTAGCTTCTTCTCTGTCTAAATTTACAGTTTTGATTGAATCTTAAACCTGGTAATTGTTGTAAATTTTTGTTTCAACGGCTGTTGTTTCGGATTGCGTTGTGTTGTCGTAAAGTGCCAAATGAGCGCACTTATTTAATCCACATCGAGGTTTTGCTCTATCTTCATACTGCAGATGCAGATGAACATTGCTGTATACGGAATACTTGCTGGAAAAAATACTACCTTAGAGACACCGTTCATCCAGATTCTGACTTCCATGTTTTTGTTGTTCCAGGCCTTCTCATTTCGTTGGTTTCGAATATGAAATCGAGAACCTCGGAAATCCCCGTTTTGAAGAACCCGCGGGGCATATCTTGAAGGCGGAGAAAAGCTCTATTTTGTACTTCTAAAAATGATTGTAAACCAAAGAATCACTCCTCTGTTAGTTTATGCGAACAAGATCTTCATTTCTTCGCCATTGCACATTTCCAGGTGCGAACGAAAGTCAAAAGCACTGTCCACTTTATTGGGGATCTTGAGTTTTTGGCAGCATTCAGTAGCAGAGCTCCCCACCGAGCCGATACCCAAGTCGCGCAACGTTTTGCTTTGCGCAAAGTTCTGCTTTGCGAGCGAGAAATCGTCCTGGAAAACGAAGAGACCAAACCCTTAGGCGGTAACGCCCCCTCCAGTAATGCCTGCCCATCCGTGCTCGCCCATCTAATCACCGCTTCGGAAAACAGGCGATGAAAGAAATACACACAGCTTCGATAATGAGAGTAGAAGATGACAATGAATGGAAGAATTCAGTTCATCTTGGTGTTTGACCTGAAATGCAAATTCAAATACATTAGCTGACGCGGTCCAGAAGCGGTTTACGAGACATTGTTGAAGGCAGCGTCCAGGCAAATCTGGGCCTATGGGGATCTCACTTGGAGAGTAATCTTGGAGTCCTAACTAAAACACTGCCCAAGCGACAGCTTGAATGGTGAGCTCACAGTTGAGATATTCGCCTCCAAACTGAACCCCGGGATCGTATTCGCAAGGATTCATGGCGCGCCACATCAGTTTCGCGCGAGACCCATGCGTGTCGCGCCATGAATTCATGCGAATACGATCTCGGGTCCAGTTTGGAGGCGACTCAACTATGAGTTCACCATTTGAGCTGCCGCTTAAGCACTGCCTCAGGGCCCCAAAATTACTTGCCACATCAGAACCCGTATGTCCAGGTTTGCCTGGACGCTGCCTTTGAAGTTGATGCCGGTGGATTATTT